AACATGAAATATCCCCACAAATCTTCTGTGCTATTTTGCTGGAAAACATTTTTTTAAGAAATATATTTTAAAGTAATTTTAAAAATAGGCGTACTACAGTAGGCCTATTTATCTAAATTCAACCTCTTTTATGCAATATAATAATAATAATTCTATAATTACAGAAAAAGCTTCATAAAAAAGAAAACCTCCTTGATATCAATACATCAAAAACAAATCCAAAAGATCTTTAAAGGATACCCTTTATTTTATATATTATATAATATATTATATCATCATATCAAAACTTAATTACTGAGTTGTTCCGGTTTATTTAAATAGTGCTTTGGAACTGTAAACTTCAAAGGAAATAGTATTGTTTAATGCTTTTATTTTAAAAGCCAAATCCGCCAGTTTCCGGTCTTGCTGGCTCACTAAAGCGAACTTGTCGGTCTATTTCTCACTGCTGTCACTGACTCGGGATGTTACGATCCACCAGAGGATTAACTGTAAACGCAAATCTTCATAATGTCAAAAAATATTGTAATGTATGTTTTATTCTTTTTTTCTTATAATTTCTCTTGCCGAAAAAAAAAGGCCAAATCATCCCGGCGGTCTCAGCTGTTCGTTAACCTTTACTCACACTGTTCTCTGCACCCCTAACAAGACGACACAATGGTATGTCCCAAACACTCCGTCCCCGCCCCTTTAACACTTCTGACCAATCAGAGAAAAACAGCGTGGCGACGTAAAGTGGACGCACCACATTCCTCACGTCACACATATTTAACCGCTCTCGTGATGTAATTCCGTATCCATGGAAACATTCCAGCCCGTCCCGTTAAAACGTTTGAATTAAAATAAGTAACGTTAATATCTCACATAAGATAACACGTTATATACATTTTGTAATTTCTAATATTATTTTATTTATATATTTATTTTTGTCCCGAGAGAGAATCAATTGATCCAAACAAACCAGACGTTAGAGCACGTTATTTATCAGTTGTTGTATCCATGGAGACTGTAGGAGCTTTTATTTGTTGTTAGTATTATTTATTTTGTTGTTGTTTTATCAAAAGTAAGGTGTTTTTTGATTTTGATAGTATTTTTTTTTGACTATTTGTTTTGTTTAATTATTATTACTTTTTTATTTAGTATATTTAGTTTTGCGGGATTTGTATTTAGTTTTTGTTTATTTTGTGCATTGTGTAACAGAGGCAGGCAGGGACTGTGATTTTATTTGTTCTTTTGTTTGTTTGCTTGTTTTGGAGAAAATAACTAAATGTGACGCATGCATAAACTCAAACTTTATTAAAGAAGTTAAAGAACCACTAAGCAACTTGTTTGGCCAAAGTAATATTAATAATAAATACCTTTTTAAAATGCTAATATTTATTTTTTAACCATGCCATTAGATCACAAGTAGACACAGTAATCCAACAGGACTTATACCAACCAAAATCATTAAAGAAAAATAACAGCAATGTGCAATTAATTACTTTTTAAAGTAACAACCCAAACACTGAATATCAGTGATTAGAATTCATGAGTTATTGTACTTTTAATAATACAATATGAACTTAATCACAACATCTCATATTGTAGTTTAAGAAGATTATTTCTCTGCTTGTCCAAGTTTCTGCAGTCGATCTGCAGGAACACGTTTCCTCGCTCAGACTTCATTCAGGTCTAAAGACGTTTATTTCAAACACAGAATTCATTTACAGGAGCGACCGACGGTTCAGTCCTCCAGTGTCTCTTGTCCAGGTGGTTCGAGGTCAGGGGTCAGGGGTCAGGGGTCCCAGCGCAGGTCACAGATCAGGGCGATGTGGTCGGAGGGGTGAGCCACGCTGGGCAGAGCCTCGTAGGTGGTGACCTCCTGGTGGGTCGGCAGAGGAATCATCTGCTCCACCTGCACACACACACACACACACACACACACACACACACACAGAAACACACACACACACACACACACACACACACACACACAGAGCATGTTAGCTTCTT